ATCTCTGGCCTGTGCCCCAGTTCTTGTATGCATAAATAAATAAATCTTTAAAAAAATTTCAGAAAAAAAATGCTGTAATCGAAATACTGAAAGTCCTTGCTATTTTGAAAACAGTAGCCTCAAAAGGGGTCAACGGTTGGTTTTTCAGAACATGGGAAGATCAGTTCAGATAAACATTTTAAAGTTAGTACCAAAGTTTACAATCTTTAGCAGTGTTTGCATTGGAATTAATAATTTAAATGACAGGTATCACAGAGGTATCAGTTGCCTCTTACTAGGCTCTGTTCCCATGGTCTCTGCAGTAGATGCTGTGCCCAACTAATACCTGGTCTGCCAGGAATGCCTTGAGTTACAAAGATGCTTGCAACTGCAGGTGTGATGGCTAGGTGGATGATAAGTAAAAAGTTAATTGTGGCATCTGGGTAATGGAATGTGAGTCGTAGTTATAACTTCCTTCAATTTTTGTGTGTTTAAGTTTTCATAATAAAATATTGGGGGAAGAAAACCTTTGGAACTGCTGGCTAGCAATTATTTGCACTTCAGTTGTTTTTCTAACAATATTATAATAATTAGGTAGTACATTTGGTGGTCCAATCTCCAGGTTTTAATTTTGTTTGAGTCTTATTTAAAATGATGACTGTGAATGAAGGGATCATTTTTTTAAGTGCGAGGCATTATAGAGAAGTGGATGTGTTATCACAGTCTTTATTCTCATGAATAGTTTTGAGGCATTTTCTGGCTTCTATAGTGGGATGATTTCAGAGGCTTAATTCTATGCTTGTTAAATGCAGAATGTTATTCATTGGAAAGCATTTGGCTCTGTCTTCTCAGACATTTCTCCTCTGACAGTCTAAGCTAATATTTTTTTTTCTTAATAAAAATGCATGCATTTAAATTGTGATTGACATGTTTTTTGGTTAGTTTTCGTGCTGCTTATAGCATGGTGTAGTATATGGTAAATAACAAATGCTTAATAAGTGAATGAGTGAAATTTTTTTTTTTAAAGATTTGTTCATTTATTTATAAGAACCGGGCTACAGGCCAGATGCGCGGGAGAGTGAGAGGATTCACCAGAGACAGAGCGGGGAACAGAACAGGCAGACTGAAGAAACACACTGCTGAGGGGAGTAGTGGGCGAGACAGGAGAGGTCTGCCCGCCATGTGGCACCCTCGCGGTCCGGCGGGGATTGAAGCTCCTCTGCAGAGGCTGCGGACAGCTTCACAGTGCGGCGCTCAACTGCCTGCGCCACCAGGGGAGGCCCAGTGAATGAAATTTTAAGAGAAATTACAGGAGGAACTTCTCCTCTTTTTTTTTTTTTGTTAGACACTTTTTATTCTCCCAATTTGGGATTGAATTTGACTGAAATATATATTATTTTTAGAGCTAATTACATTTTTGCTCCAAAATATTCTAGGCAAATTTTGTTTGTAAATTATTTATAGATTAGTGTCATTGATAACAGGGAAGAGAGAACGACTCCTGAGGCAGACAGGAGGCGCTGGTGCCTCTCGGAGTTGCTGCCATTTTAGAAAAAGACAAGATTTCATTACCTGCTCTCTTTGTGAGCTTTGCTTGTTACTTTTTCTGAAGATTAATAAAGGCTCAATTTCAATCTTCCTGCATTCAGGGAGGGTTGCTTTTCAGAGGACCACAAGTGGAATGGATACTAGAGGTAGGATCACGTTATTTTTCTTATAAAAATGAGAAACAGCTGTTTTTTTTTCCTTGTGTAGTAAAATAGCTCACAGTGAAAAGGTTATAAACAAATATGAAGGTTTGGGAATAGGAAAAAAATGTAGAAGCCTCACATGTTTTAACTTTCTGACCTTGTAATCTACAAAGATGCTAAAAGAAAATTTTCTTTATCGAATGGTAGGAGCTTATTTTTAATAATATTAGACATTCTATTTAATTAGCTAAATTAATTTTTATAGTTGACTAAATCATTGTTTTTTTATTTTTTAAAGATTTATTTATTTATTTATTTGTTTGTTTGTTTATACATACAAGCACTGGGTACAGTCAGAAGCGCGGGAGGGTGAGAGAATTCACCAGAACCAGAGCGGGGAGCAGAGCAGGCAGAAGGGCCGAAGTACACTGCTGAGGGGAGCAGCGGGCGGCAGGAGAGGTCTGCGCGCCATGTGGGACCCTCCTCCGGTGGCCGGGGAGCAGCTGGGGATCGAACCGGCGCTGCAGAGGCTGCGGGCAGCTTCGCAACCCAGCGTTCAACCGCTGTGCCACTGGGGAGGCCCTTGTTTTTTTTTTTTTAAATCATAATCTCTTAAGCCAGAAGTGAACGAAGTCTGTAGTATTGGACAACTTTGGCTTATAACTCGGAAAGGGAAATATTTCTGCTTTATAGGTAGCACTGTATTTCTGCATGTGTTTATGTGTGAGCATGCCATAAAATTCTTGCTTTTTTCCTCTGCAGCAAATCATGCTAAAAATGTCTTGCATGTGATGATTAAGATATTCACATTGCAAGTTTTTCTGAAGGAAAAAATGGAATTAGCAGATGCTATTAGGGGAAATACTCATTTCCAGATATTTTTGTGTAGTAAATTTTCTGTAAGACATGTATTATTTTCTTGTATTATTTTCTTGATGCCACCCTTGATCATAGTCTTAAAAATCGACATAATTGCCATTTTCCAATAACTATACATAAAGGAAACTTATAGGCAGCTTCAAACTCTTTTAGGAAAAGTGACCCTCCTTAAATGCTGTTAACAAAAATAAAAAATGTTCAGTGGCAAAAAGGTTTTAGGTTATACTTATTTTGATCTAGCAGATTTCTTTGGGCTTGTTTCCTTTATTTAGATTGTGAGGAGAGAATGGAATCCATGCAAAAAAGGATCAGGTAAGCATTTTATCTTACAATGTTTACAGGTGCCTGGAAATGAATGGGAGAATGAATTTATAGACTTTGTAATAAAGCATTATTTAAAATTTTTTAATTGGCAATGTTCAGAAGTTATATGTAGAACAGGGATCTACAGACATCCTCTGTGGGGAGCTTGGTAGTATTTCAGGACTTTGTGGGCAGTTCTCATTCCAACTGCTGAGCTTTGCGGTGGTGTATAAGAAACCATAATGATATGTGAATAAATGATGATGGTTGTGTTCCAATAAAACTTTATTTCTTAACAATGAAATTTGAATTTCAAATTTCCATATGTTGTAATAGTCTTCTTTTGAGCCCCTTCCCCAACCTCCCCTGATTTAAAACTGTAAAAACCATTGTTAGCTCATAGATCATACAAAAGCAGGTGGTGGACCGTTGTTTGCTTACCCCTAAATCTCAGCTAGTGATACTTGTAACCAGGAGAGCATATAATATCATGGTGGAGTAGAAGATCTGTCCTGTGGCCTAATGTGCTTTTTTTTTTTTTTAAAAGATTTATTTATTCATGCATACAAGAACCAGGGTACCGGCCAGATGTGCGGGAGGGTGAGAGGATTCACCAGAGACAGCGGAGAACAGAACAGGCAGACTGACGAAATACACTGCTGAGGGGAGCTGTGGGCATGACAGGAGAGGTCTGCCTCACCATGTGGGACCCTCAACGGCTGGCCGGGATGGAACCGGTTCTGCAGAGGCTGCAGGCAGCTTTGCAGCCCAGTGCTCAACCACTGCGCCACCAGGGGAGGCCCAAATTTGCTTTGTTTTTAAGACTAGATAAGAATAATGAAATCATAATCTGAGCAACTGTGTAGTAATATTCAATAGAGTTATACCCATAATATTCCTGCGATTTTGCTAAAACTATAAATATGGCACATTCATTGTTGCAGGCATAGTTGCTTAAACTCAGATGTAGAAAGAATGCAGTACTTAATGAGAACTTTTTCTGGATTTAACTGGAGAGCTCTTTGAAGTTCCTGAAACCATCAGAATCCAGTGGTACATTTTTGTAAGACATTTTTTGCAGTAACACCTTCTGTACTTATTTACAAAAACAGAAGAAAATAAAGTGAAAGAACCTTTAAAGAATCAGGTATGTTTTCTGTCTCTTGCAACCAATCTGTTGAATCTGGTTTTCAGAGACAAGCTTAAGTGAGGAAGGCACTGCTATTCAATGTAATCAACATTTTAGGACTTAGTGTTGGCAAGATATTTGGAAATACTGCAAAATACAAAGTATTTTCAGATTTTTGACTCAGAAATGTACACTGGGATTTTGCCAGTCTCTTCCTTTTGGTAAGAATGCATCTTGCTTGCTTTGGTTTTTTTCCATCTTATAGAGCAGGTAAAAAAGAAAAATGAAGTGGAAAGAAACATTCCCAATCAAAAAAAGATAAATTGTTGGCGATAGCTTAGAAAATGAAGTTGATTGGACAGAATTATGTGGGGCAAAGGTTTTATTTCAGTGAGTTCAGATGGAGTTTGTTGTTTTCTTTTTACCTTAGCTTCTTTTTTGAAAATGAATTTTGTTGAATCCATTTATATCAAGAAGGAAACTCAATAGAAAATACAACTTTTGTCATGTTGACTTAAAATATGTTCATGAATTTCTGTTGCTTTGTAAATGGGGGAAAACGAAAGTTGCTAGATGTCTTAAAGTTGAAATTTTGTTTGAATAATTTTATTTTATCTGATAAATTTTACTTGAAACTGATACTTGACAGCGTATAAAAATAAAATATTTGTAGAAATAAAATAAAAAATTTGTAAAAATAAAAATATTTGTAAATTTGTGTGAATATGTCAAACCGGATTGAGATTATTCCTGTGAGCCTTACTAAATAACTTTCTAATCTAAACTAATAAAGTAACGTTAGATATTTTTAAAGTTACTTGAAATGTAGGTAAGTTTTAGTATTCTCTCATATTTCTTTGGTTGTGAGGGAAAACAAATTTCTCCCTATAGGTTCCCCATGACATTTACATTTCTGATTGGCTAATTGGCTGAAGTAAAATAAGGGAAACATGGGTCATTGCTTTGTTTTTGACTGGACCTGATGTCTTGTGCTTTACTCTTTTTTTTTTTTTCCCCAGTGAAACCAGCAGTGTGTGTAGCAGCAGTGACACGGGGCTCTTTACCAATGACGAAGGACGGCAAGGTAATCTTGATTCTAGTTCTGGGTTGTTGCTTCAGTGTTTCTGGGAAGAGTCTGATGATTATAGAAGCCACTCTCTGAGAATATAATGGTTATCAATGGCACTGGTTCTCAAACTTTATGGCATAGATGAGCTATCTGGGGAACTGTTAAAAAACTGCGAATTCCTGAGCACCTAGAAGTCAAATAGGTTTAAAGTTGGCTCCTGGAATCTGCATTTTCTACAAACACCTGTAATGACTTTTTTATTTTTTTATTTTTTTTTATTTTTTATAGAGGCATGTTTTATTTATTTATTTGTTTGTTTGTTTGTTTTTGTTTATACAAGCACTGGGTACAGTCAGAAGCACGGGAGGGTGAGAGAATTCACCAGAGCCAGAGCGGGGAGCAGAGCAGGCAGAAGGACCGAAGTACACTGCTGAGGGGAGCAGCGGGCGGCAGGAGAGGTCTGCGCGCCATGTGGGACCCTCCTCCGGTGGCATGGGAGCAGCTGGGGATCGAACCGGCGCCGCAGAGGCTGCGGGCAGCTTCGCAACCCAGCGCTCAACCGCTGCGCTCAACCGCTGCGCCACCGGGGAGGCCTGTAATGACTTTTATATAGGTAGTCCATACTGTGAGAATCATTGAACCCCAGGGGGTTTTATGTCAAGAATGGGATTTTGGGAAACTGCTTTTTATTAGAACCCCACAGATCCTCATGTATTACTCTTTTGTGGAATGTTAAGACTTTATGATTACATAGGAAGAATTTATTTTTGTAATTTGTCTTATTAATGATTAAGTGTTCTAGTGAATATGTTGCAGAAAACATCTTTCTAAAGTTCCTGAAGTTTGGTACAGGGCACTGTGAATAGAACTGGTATATTTTAATTATCAGTCCTTTATTTTTATTACCTAAACTGTAATTTGAAGCTTTGTTCTTGTCCTGTACACTTGCTTAGGGCCACACTAATTGTGTACCAGTAAGAATTTTATATAGTGCCTTTGGCTATTGATTTCTTAATCTAAATAAGGAATTTATAGATCTCTAAAGCCCCTTCTCACTCTGAAATCAGTGATTTTTTTCCCCAAGTGACTGAAGAATTGAGGCACAGTGCTTGTAAGTCTGGGTTGATCCAGGTAGGCTCCCTAGTAACTGAAAGGATCCTGGGACTGTGAGACTCAGAATTCTTTCTCCCAGGCTTCAGAATTGTGGACCTGGAGACAATTTCATCGTCGTGGATTTGTTGAGCTTCTTACAATACTATAGTGAGGTTGCTCTATTATAGCAGGCTGCAGGAGTATATTGCTATCCCATTATGCTAGGAAGCTGAGTGTTGTTGGAGACGTTCAGGTAGGCTCTAGCCGGGGTCTTGATCCTTTTGCCTTGTATCAGGAGATTCTGGTTGTCTTTACAGGAATAAGATGCTGTGTATGTTCAGAGTTGCTAATATTTATTTATTTATTTATTCGCTGCATTGGGAAATATACCTCTTGAAGATTTTGATGCATAATTATATAGAGGTAGAAGAAAGTGTGAGCCTCTTGCACATTAAATTTTTAACCTTTGGAAAGTCTTTCCTTGATAAGGAAATCCATGTTTATCATGGAAGATTGTATTCTATAACTCCAACTCTTCTCTATTTCTGCCTTAGTTTCACACATTCTGGGCATATTTAGATGCTTGGAGTTCTCAGAACAAAAGGTGTGTTATCTCCTGCTTCCACATCTTTGTTTACGCTGATCTCTGTCTGAAATCTCATCCCCATCTATTCTTGAATGTGTGATCATCTTCCCAGACCCAGTTCTCCTTTTGCCTCTCTGGGGCATATTCATAACTACATCACTAGGATTTCTTACTCTCAATTTCCTGTTGGGTTTGGCCAGTAGGAGGCACAGCAGAAAATTGGAGGGTAGGAAGTGAAGGAGATAGGTTTTATTAATCAAATTTTTATTATGGTAATACGGCTTAACAGCCTCCAAATTTCAGTGGTTTACCACATTTATTTCTTGCTATAGGACTGGAGTTGATTCTTGTTCTGCTGATCTTACCTGGGCTTAGCTGGTCTCCTGGCTTTAAGTTAGGTTTATATCTACTCTTGTGTATGATTCTGGACCGAGGCTAACAGAGCAATGACTCTCTGCTACATGGACTTCTTGAAGGTGGAGGACATGAATGCCAACTGACCAAGCTAGACCAGGCATAAATATTTAAAGCTTTTGCTGCTCATATGTTGATAATCTATCTAAGCAAGTCATATGACCAAGCACAATGTTAGTGACTGAGGAAATGTACTCTGCTTCAAGAAAAAGATGCCGTGGAATCCCGAGGCAAAGGCAAAGAGTGTGGATGTATAATTCTGTTACAGTAATAGAATGATTACTGTAATACAGGCTACAGTAATTAATACGGGCTACCACACTGGATGCTGACTTTCTCTGGTTCCCCTTCTGTTAGACTGCTAGGGACAGTGGTTGTGTTTGTCAGCTGAAGGCTGCCACTCCTGTTTGGCATATTGTTAACTTTTAATAACTATTGGGAAACCCAGATAAGGGGAAATTTCTCCTATTTCACCTTCAAGCAGAATTTGTACATAGAACTTCAAATTATAAAATTATATAAAATGATAAACTGTTTTGGTTAAAGCATATCCCAAAGGGGCAGGAGGACACATGCCTCAATTAATATACTGAAGTATAGAGAAGCTAATCATTGTTAATTCTCTTTTTTATTGAAGTAGCAATACAGTATTGCATTGTATAAGTTTCAGGTGTTAATCATTAAAAATCAACATATTTATACACTACATTAAGTTTATCACTAAAGGTCCAGTTCTCTTTACCACACAATTAACAGCTGTTGACTCAACTTACCCTTCCCTTCTGGTAAATACTTAATTGGCCTGACAGTCTGTGTACCACATATGAGTGAAATGATACGGTGTTTGTCTTTCAGTGTCTGACTTAATTCACTAAGCACAGTACCTTCTAGGTTGGTCTATGCTGCAAACGGCAGGATTTCATACATTTTGAGAGTAGTATTCCATTGTGTATAGATACCGCATCTTTATCCAGTCATCTGACAGTGGGGACTTGGGTGGTTTTTAGCTCTTGGCTGTTGTAAATAATGCTGCAGTAAACATGAAGGTATATATATCTCTTTGAATTAGTGTTTTTGTGTTTTTCTGAATCCCAGAAGTGAGACAACTTAATCATATGGAACTTCTGTTTTTAATTTTTTGAGGAATCTCCAAATATTGCCTTCCATAATGACGGTACCAATTTACATTCTCACCAATAGTATACAAGGGTTCCCTTCTCTCCTCTTTAACACTTAACATCCTCTTTAACACTTGTTTCTTATCTTGGAAAATATCTGTGTGAGGTGTGTAAGTGTGAGGTGATATCTAATCATTGTTAATTCTCATGCCTATCTTTAACTCATCCTTATGTAACCCATTTGGTGAGATGCTTTTAGAGTGATGATTTTGAAAATGTGGTCTTCAAGCCAACTTAGCGTCACCGTAGGGAATTTATTAGAAAGGTAAATTTCTAGTTTTGCCAGACCAGAATCAAAAACTTTGGAACTAAGGCCCAGCAGCTTGTGTTTTAACAATCCATTGTGATATGCACTACATGTTAAGAACCAGTTTCAGACAAACAGTTATTGGTAGTGTGTTTTTATAGAGAACACTGGGTAACTTCACTTGTTGCTTATCTACTACTTTTCACCAGTATACAGCTTTCATGTCTCTTTTTAGAGCTCTCAAAAGTGATTTAAGAATTACCATTGTTTGGGTGTTAGTGGTCCGTGAATCTAACCGTTCATATGATTAGCACGTCCTGAGCAGCTTCCTTGGGGTCCAGCATAAACTAGAAAATGAATGCATTGTGATCACTTTACATGTTCTTGTCATAATTTCCTTCATCCTTGCTATTCTGAAAGCCGTGGTTAGCAAAGTTATCTCTCTTATTCTTTGTGGGCAGGAATAAACCCATGTGGAAACTGAGGTGCTGTCATTTAGTAAATAAAAGTTTCAAACAAGAGTCTGGATAAATGGGTCTAGGCTTGACTGTCATTAATAAAGAGTATGGTCTTTGGCAAATGGTATAACTTCTTGACAACCTTAGGGGATTACATTGTCTCTATGGTTAGTTTTTTCCAGTAGCTTGAATTGTTAGTGTCAGGATGATTTTCTGTCCCATTAATGACAAAGAAATAAGGTATGGGTATACATTCTTTGTTCAGCCATTATGAGAAGTGTAAATATAATAAATCCCTCAGGAACAGCTAGCTTTAAGTTAAGACACATTTGTGGGCTTTGAATCCCCAAGTTTGTATATATCACTGAGAATGATATTTTTCAGAAGATAAGTTTACTTTTTAGAAAATAAGTTAGTCTTTGTGTTCAAATCCTGGCTTCATTATTCACTAACTTGATCTTGACTTCTAGGTTTTAGTTGCCTCATTTATAAGTTAAAACTAGTATAAGGTTGGGAGGAGATTTAACATATTTTTTTAAAGATTTATTTATTTATGCATACAAGAGCTGGGGTACAGGCCAGAGATGTGGGGGGTGAGAGGATTCACCAGAGAGACAGAGTGGGGAACACAACATGCAGACTGACTGAAATACACTGCTGAGGGGAGCAGCAGATGAGACAGGAGAGGTCTGCTGCACCATGTGGGTCACCTCCCTGGCTGGGGATCAAACTCGTGCTGCAGAGGCTGCGGATTGCTTCATAGTACGGTGCTTCACCCCTTGCACCAGCAGGGAGGCCCGATTTAACATATTTACAGAATTTTAGTGTGAATCCTGGTAGATGGTAAGGGGCTAGTAAATGGTCGTTTCATTAGTTTTTAACTGTTAAAAGCAGTCCAGTATAATATTTGTATCAGACTGGTTTGGTGTTGCTGTTTTCATCATAATATTATTCAGGAAGGATAAAAACATTTTTTCCCTACTTTTACTTTATTTAAAAAGTATAATCGGGAATATACCTAAAAGGAGGAAGTATATAAGCATACATTGTACAAAAATGAACGGTGATGTAAAATATATATGTGAATTTAAAAAAAAGTATACTGAAACCTCGAACACTGAGAAATTATGTTCCCATTTGGCTGTTCAGAGAGCATGGTGAAATCTTCCAGCTCATGGTATGGTATGATCTTCTTACTCTAGGTGATGATGAGCAGAGCGATTGGTTCTATGAAGGAGAATGTGTTCCAGGATTCACTGTCCCTAATCTTCTGCCAAAGTGGACTCCTGATCACTGCTCTGAAGTAGAAAGAGTGGATTCTGGACTCGATAAACTTTCAGATTCCACATTCCTTTTACCTTCTCGACCAGTTCAAAGAGGTGAGTACTGAGCAGACCAAAATATACTTCACACTTCTGCAGTTGTTTTGGGGCGCATCATCCCATGGCAAGTATCTCATGCCTCTAAGCACACTTTTAACTATCTCAGAATTTTGGAACTAGTCCAGGGACTTTTCTAGAGAATTCAGGGTGAGTCTTGGTGCTTGAGCTTCTGTCCGTTCTTATCTAAATCAATCATGGAGACTTCTGGGAATATATTTTAGCAGGACATTCCTTCAGCCTTTTGTGCCAAATTTAGGAATCCTAGCAGCGTGTCACAGCTGCTTATCCTGCTGTGAGTCTGATGGGCTGAGTGCTCAGTGAAAGCTTGAGTACTGGATGTAGGAGAACAGATTTCAGTGAGCACATTGACATGCAAAATAAAATGGCACTTTTTAAATGGATAATCATTTAAATAACTCTATATGGTAGACTTTTTAAAATTGATTTTTTAATTTTCTTGCATTGTTCATTTTTTGTACAGTATTTGATTTCTCCCTTCAGGTGTAGTACCCATAGATATCCTACTACCACTTCACCTGTGAACTGTCACAGGGTCCCTTGTGCACTTCCCACCCCTGTTTTGATCCTTCTCCCTCCATCTCCCCTGTTGTGAGCCTTAGGTATATAGTTGCCTACAAGTTTTGCCTTTTTTTTTTTTGTCCCTTTGTTTTGTTTCCCTGTATTCCTCCTATAAGAGATATCACCCGATAGCATTCTTTTTCCTTCTGACTTATTTCACTGAGTATAATTCCTTCCAGCTCCATCCATGTTGCTGCAAATGACATGACTTTATCTTTTTTGATTGCTTAGTATTCCATTGTATGCATATACCACATCTTCTCGATCCAGTCATCTGTTTTTGGGCATTTAGGTTGTTTCCATATCTTAGCTAATATCAGTAGTGCTGCAGTAAATATAGGAGTGCAGGTTTCCTTTCAAATTAATGTTTTTGTGTCCTTTGGATAGATTCCTAGGAGTGGAATTGCTAGGTTATGTGGTAGATCCATTTTTATTAATTTGAGACCCTCCACACAGCTTTCCATAGTGGTTGCACCAGTTTGCATTCCCACTAGCACTGTAAGAGGGCTCCTTTTTCTCTTTATGGTGGACTTAACACAAACATCTATTGCTTTTCCTTCAATTATGGTGCAGTGAGGCAGAGTGGAAAGAGCCTAGGACAAAGGAGAAAGCAACATGATGGTAATACTTTCTGGTACTCAAGATTTTTAGCATTTTTGACTGATTTTGTGACTGTGACAGAGTCACTTCTTTTCCTTGGGACACCAGAGCCATCACTTAAGATACTGTGACACTGAACAGAGCTGTTTCAGTAGTATCTTTTAATTTTCTAAATTTATCATTCCAGGACTCCCAGTAATCAGTAATCAGCCAGCTAGCCAGTTGTCCCATATTTGTTGAGTATCTGTTGGCACTGCACTTAACCTGAGAACTGTGAACTCCTTTCTGTAACTTGTTAGGATGAATTTGGGTGAATGAAAGACCTTCTCAAAGGAGTTTGTTTTTGGTAAAGACTATTGCCAGTCTGAGGCACGTGTTTTGCTACTTTAATAACTTTCATTGAACATTTCATTGACCACTTCTGAAAGTTCTTTTGTTGCCCACAAATAAGCAAGAATAGGAAGAAGAAACTTAAAATGGCCTGTAATCCCACTACTAGAGACAAAGTCACTGATAGCATTTTGGCCTCTTTCAGTTGCCTTTTTTTAATATGTGGAACATATGGTGGTTAGAAAAATATGATTTTTTGAGGTAGTAGGTAGCATTTAGTTTATAATTAGAAATTACTGATATTACCTTATATTTGTGTGGTGTTTTCAGTTTATAAGGTTCCTGCAATGTGCTATTTTATTTGGTCTTGAAACAGCCTTGTAATAAAGAACTGAACAAATAATTATCCTTCTTTAAAAAGAGATGCCTAGGTCAGAGGTAAAAGATCGTTCTGCTAGTGACAAAGACATGGGAATAATAAATTCTTGGCAAGTAGCTTAGTGATACTAGTTTAAGGGTCAATCTAGTAAGATCCTGGGGGCTAAATCCTTTGGTATAAGAGAAACACGTCATTGCTAATGAATCTTCTGCATTTAGTAACTGAGATCTTTCTTCTTCTTTAAGGGTACCATGCACGCTTGAATCGTCTGCCGGGAGCTGCAGCTCGATGCCTCAGAAAGGGGCGAAGAAGGCTTGTTGGGAAGGTGATAGCTCTCGCTGTTTCCTAGGCTTAGTGGGATGATAATATTCCCATGATTTGCATAAGCTATTGATTACCAAAAGTGCTGTAGCACTCCTGGGAGTTAATTAAGATAACTGAATTTTTTTGCAAGTTCACAAGACTGAACATTATGTAGGATATAAATGGATACAAATATAAAAGATGAAGCTTAGTTCATACTGAAGTTCTGACAGAGCAAACACTGTCATGCCAGTATCTCTTTTCTGTAAATCTACAGGCCTAATTTATGTCTCTTCTGCTCTTTTGTTTAATATTATTATATAGGATAAAATACTCGGTCGGCTTTTTCATGATTCCTGAATTCCTGAATGCATCTTTTATTCTAGAATTCTTTAAGAAAAAGAAAACTCTTACCAAATTCCAGTACTCCCCCATTGGCCACAAAGGAGGAATATCTACTGTTCACTCAGTTCTACCTTTGATAGGGACTGTACCAGGCACTCAATTCACTTTATCCTCCCAACACCCTTGTAAAAAGTGTGATCCCCTTTAGCAAATGAAAGTAACTTAAGTTCATGGAAGTTGAGAAATATCTTATGTTTCCCAGGTAGAAGTATCAGAATAAAGAACCCAGATCTATTTCCCTTTTATCTTTCTTGATTAAAAATTTTCAAAATTTTTATTGTATTGTTCACTCTAACTTGGATACTGAAGTAGTTTGAGTCTGGGGCTTATACCCTATTAGAGAAAATGGTGGTAGGCAAAGAGTACAGAAGGGAGAGGCATTTTCATTGTTAATTTGTTAACTCAGTAAACTCAGAGTGATTGCTGTGTGGCTATATGCCAAACCTAGGGTATCATGGTCAGAGCCACATTTTGGCTGCCCTCAGTGGGCTACTATTTTATAGTTTAATCAGGGAAATGTTTTCTGAAGTTTAAGCATGGCAAAAGGAATAAAGTTGTTTATCTCCAGATGAACTCATTTCTTTAAATTCAATTTCAAATATCTAATTAGAAAGTCATTTGATTATTGGTAGAATGATTCCTTCTTTTGGCTCACTCATTTTACAGGCAACAAGATGCTGCTTTTGCTGTTGTGGGAGCTTCTTCTTACTGTGTAGCTACTGGGTCGGAGTACATGGGGTGAGAGAAGGCAGGAGGTTGGGAATAGGGAACAGAGAGATGGTTTTACTGTTTCTATTTATTGGTTAGTCATGACAGATAATGTTCTTCCTACCACTTACCTTATTTTGTTTCAGCTCCTATAAATAAGAGCCTTCCACTTCCATGGAAGTAAATCAGTTCATCTTGAAGGCTCCCTTTACTTGCCTGGAAGGTAACTAGGGTCTATTAGATGTGCCTCTAATGATTTCAAATGAGTACAGTAGTATTTTCTTGTTTAATTCATCTTCATCACCTTAAAGGGGTATTTGTCATTTCTAGCAGAGGTCACTGTCTTGCCCCCTTTATCCCCCTCCCCCATCTCTCTCCTCTTTTTCTAAATTGTAATCATAAATAATGAGTTTCATTCACAGCTCCCTGCCAGCGAGCTGCTAATTACGCAAAGTACTGCTTGTAATTTACACAGTAATAAACTGTAAATTTAAACATTACGGCACGTTAAGTTAATAATTTTTCTGCTGTAACAAATAACTCATTTTTCACCCATCTTTTCCCTTGGCCCCACTATCATGGCTGTGTGTGTGACCAGGAGGCATAGGTGTAAAGGATGAGAAATAACAACGAATACAGTATACAGTACCTTTTCATTTAGCCCCACTACCACTCAGAATCTCATCGCAAATTAATTTTTCTATGGCTAGTTGTTCTGCTAAAATGTATCCTAATGTTTAGGCTAATTCATACACAGATGATTCTAGACAACAATGTTTGATGGGAAACAAATGTGTTCAAGTAATAGGCTTGGCAGCATGTCCATGACTTATGCTCACTCATCTTATCACTTACTCATATGTCTAGAACTCTCACCTTAGTATGTTTCGTCAGGTACTGTGGTAGATGTGCATTGTAAATGTAAAGTTAAATGAAGGGTAAATGCCTTCTGCCATTTTCCATTTTTTTGGGAGATAATGGGTTTTTGAATTACTTATGGTATTATGGGTAAGATTTCATATAACAGTCTTAAAATTTTGAAACCAATTTATACAGACTTCCTGTTTTTATTTTTTAAAAATATTTATTTATTTATTTATTTATTTATTTATTCATTCATTCATTCATTCATTCATTCATACAAGCACTGGGTACAGTCAGAAGCGCGGGAGGGTGAGAGAATTCACCAGAGCCAGAGCGGGGAGCAGAGCAGGCAGAAGGACCAAAGTACACTGCTGAGGGGAGCAGCGGGCGGCAGGAGAGGTCTGCGCGCCATGTGGGACCCTCTTCCAGTGGCCGGGGAGCAGCTGGGGATTGAACCGGCGCCGCAGAGGCTGCGGGCAGCTTCACAACCCAGCGCTCAACCACTGCGCCACCATGGAGGCCCCCTTCCTGTTTTTATTTTAAGAGATGACATTTAACAGCAAAATAGAGGGTGACAATTTTTGTCAGTCACGAAAATCCTTTGCTCTTCATCCATTTTGTCAGCAACTGTTTACATGTTACCAGTGAAGACTCAATAAATGTCCTATTGTGAAGGCTGTTGGTATACTCACATGACCCCAGGGAGCTTGGCATGCTGGCCTGTTCAAAATTGGTTCCTGTTGAATATTTGAAAAAAAGTGTTTCTATCCCTATATGCTTTGATAACTCCAGTAGATATTCATTACACTATATTAAAATACCATACATGGCAAACAGTGTTTATAATGACTTTTTGGAACACTGGAGAAAAATAAGTCTGGGATAACATAGTTCTTTTAAGATAGGTTCCCATAAAAAGAAATATACTGGCTGTTGGAGTTTAAGATTTTACATTTGAGATGTGCTGTTGAGGTTGCCCTGGCTAGCACAGTTAGGAAAAGTGTGAGCTTGGTGAGAGATCATACATCATGTGTGTTTCTGTGGTTAGATGACACTCTGCCTTTCTTGTTTTTTCAGGAGACCAGTATAAGTACATTGGGTACTGAGAGGATAGGCCACATCATCAGTGACCCTCGGCAGAAAGAGTGAGTCCTTATGTATTTACCAGCTATCTTAGCCTGTTGTTGGTGAAGGAGGCAGAGGGAAGTTTTATGAAGGAACCTAGAATTCTGACTTTAAGAGTTGAAAGAGGAGTTCTTAAAGGTTTGTGTTTTCTAACAGTTAACATGACTAATACCCTAAACCCATGCTGGTGATTTTTTTCCTCCTAGACTTGTTTTTATTTCTTTGGTTTTTATATCTGTAGGTGCTATACTATAAAAGTAACCTCTAATGTGGATGTTATATTTTAAACTCATTTTTCTGTCTTGTAAATTTTTTTTTGTTTAAAATGAATGATTGCCTCTATATTGTTCTATTCGCTCTTCCCATTTTTAGACCTTTATATAGAGAAATATCTTTTTGTCCTAACTAATACAGTCAGTGCAGTTGGAAAACTTAGGTGTAGCTATTGGAAAATTGTTCTGTACTTTCTTGTGGCAGCTTCTTCTCCTAATATTATTGACTCTTTGATGTCTCCTGTACATGTCATGGCCAGTATTTAGTTATGATCCCGTGCATGTCTAACCCGGTCAGATTTCTAATTTAAAAAATTGACAAGGTGTGTATGGGCGGGGGAGGTTATGTCCTTATTATCCCTGCAAACCGAGAGTGCTCTAGTGTCATGCTGTAATCTTGGGTTTATGTTTAGAGTCCAGCCTTTTACATCCCATCAGAAGACTTTTTCCTTTGAAGAGTTATTTTCTACAAAGAATTCACACACATTTAATATCTTTCTCTTCCCCTCCAACTCCATCTTTTTCCTGATTCTTTCTTTGTCTTCACATCATTATCCCAACATCTCTTAATCTCTCTGTTTATAATTTTCCGACCACTTCTTTTATTGTTTTCTTTCCTGTTCTTCTCTCCCTCTCTTTAGTTTCTGGTTGTCATCAGCTGGGAAAAGAGAACGAAATCAGGTAAGGTTGTTTTTCTTCGTCATCTTTATTTTATCATTTGATTTCCTTTTCTTTAGAAAGAATAAAGCATTGGCTTCTGATTTTCCTCACATTTCTACTTGTGCAAATGAGGTAAGGTTCCCTTGTGTTACTCTGATTTTCTTGGAGAGCCGTTTTCCAAGAATATCCTGGTATTTATCACAAGGAACTGTAGCCAATTTTCCTTTTTAGGTTCAGTTGTGATCTTCAGCTTATTGCTTGTAACATATACTTCATAGGAAGTTCATTTTTATTTTATTTTTGAACTTTGCAGTAAGATATCTGATGAAACTCATCAGCTTATGGTTTATTTCAACATCAGCATCTTGTGCTGACAAGTACAATGCTGAAACCTAAATCTATAAAACAGAAGAAGGTAGAGCTGTTTTAGGTGAAGTGGGGTTGAGACTTGGGAGCCTTGCCTTCTCAGTCTTTTCTTTAGCTACTCCTTGACAGGGCCTTTGGCATATCTCGTTCTTTGAAGGGTCAAAATTTAAAAATTACTGATAGTGGCTGTTGATTGGGTCCTCTTTGAGGCCTTTAGATTTCGGGGCTGTGAGGAATCACTGTATCACAGTAATTAGTAGTAAAATAGATTTTAAAAAGTGGCGGGTAAAAATTCTCTGGTTTCCTATTGCTGGTTGTTTTTGTTTTAATTTTAAAAAATTTTTTTTTAAAGATTTATTTATTCATTTATACAAGCACTGGGTACAGTCAGAAGTGCGGGAGGGTGAGAGAATTCACCAGAGCCAGAGCGGGGAACAGAACAGGCAGACTGATGAAACACACTGCTGAGGGGAGCAGTGGGCGCGGCAGGAGAGGTCTGTGCATCATGTGGGACTCTCGCCGGCGGCCGGGGATTGAACCAGTGCTGCAGAGGCTGTGGGCAGCTTCGCAGCCCAGCGCTCAACCACTGCGCCACCAGGGGAGGCCCTGTTATTTTTTTATTTTTGAAAATTTTTTGCGTAGAAGTGCTGGGGCGGAGGCTGGGGTGGAGGGGAGGGGGAGTAAGAGGATTCACCAGAGACAGAGTGGGGAGCAGAACAGATGGATTTACTAAAATATACTGCTAAGGGGAGCAGCTGGCAAGACAGGAGAGGTCTGCTGCACCATATGTGGGTTGGCTCCCTGCCTGGGGATTGAACTCAGGCCACAGTCGTGATAGTGCTGAGACTTAACCCCTAGGCCACGCAGGACTACCCAGTCCAGATCTGTTATTTACAAATGAGATTTAAACTATATGGCCAAAGTCATATAGCTGGTAGAACTGGAACTGAATCTTTTTTGGGGGAGTGGGGGTGGGGGACTGAATTTTTATGACAGATAGGACAGTTGCTTTTTTTTTCAAAGATTTTATTTTCTTACACATACAAGAGCTGGGGTGTAGGCCAGAGACAGAGTGGGGAGCAGAATAGGCAGATTGACTGAAATACACTGCTAAAGGGAGAAGTGAGTGAGACAGGAGAGGTCTGATGCACTATATGGGTTAACTCCCTGGCTGGGGATCGAACTCCTGCTGCAGTGGCTCCTGATAGCTTGATCCATAGCTCTGAGACTTAACCCTTTGTGCCACCAGGGAGGCCCCAGGATAGTTGCATTTTTTAAAAATAATTTTGAAATTACCATTCAGAGTTTTTTCCAGTCTAAAATACATTTTCGTTCTTAAGTTTTTGGAGAGGATTTTCTATTGAGGAAAAAGTTCAAGAAAAGTAGCAAATACAAAGGTACTTTTACAGATAGTATCTATTTGAACCTCACAGCCACTGTTTGAGGTCAGTAGGTGTTTTATAGATGGGAAACTGAAATTACTTCATAAACTGAAAGCAAGGTTTCATTTAACCCTCACAATAATCCTATCAAATAGATAAGACATATCACAAAACATCCTTTTACAGGTGGTGATAGTAAAACTCAAGAGCTTATGTAGTTTTGAATACATGGCAACTGGGTGGTAGCCTGGAGTTGAATGTCAGGTATTCTAAGTCTTAATCTAGTTCTGTTTCCACTATACTGTGCTGTTGGGATATGCTAACCGCTTACTAACTAGAAACATTTGCCAGCATAAGGAAATGCAAAGGTAGTTTCATGCTAGTTTTCTTGGGAACAAAGCTGATAATCAGTGGGCATAAGTTCCCCTTATGTCAGTTTGAAAGTACTATCCTCTGCCACTTAAGTATTATCGTGTATTAGAAGTTTTTGAAAAATCTGTGTTTACCAAGGAATGGTCTTTTTATGAGGTGTGCTAGATCAGGTATGCCAACTCATCGCACACTCCTGAATATGTGCCATTTTATTGAATGGTGTCTTGGTGTGGCAAAAGAGTCAAGCAGTCAAAGGGGAAAAGTGATCTAGTAACAGATAACTCTTTAGGAGCAGGTCTGTTTCATATAAACCATAATAAAACAATCTCGCTTACTCCTGCAGTTTAATCCACTTTCTCCCCTTTACTCTCTGGATGTTCTTGCTGACGCTTCTCATCGAAGATGTTCACCAGCGCATTGCTCTGCCAGGTAATTATCTTTTGGTGGCTGTTATTTTCTTTAGACAGTACCATTTTCCTTTGAATAACACTTTTCAAACTATAAAGTATATTTGTATGGTGTCCAAATTGATCTTTACAACAATTCTTTGAGGTCAGTAAATGTTTTATAAATATAGAAGCTGAGGCAGAGTGAGAAATATATTTCTTTCGGTGATTTAAGTCTCAGTTTTGATCTAAGTCATCTGGCTCATATTTCGTATTTCTTATGTTAAAAGCCCCATCTTCAAAGAATATTACTAATGGCCCTTTCTATGACCTGCAAAACTGCATAATCTGACTTCTGCCCACATGTCCAAACTCCTTTCATATACTTCTTCCTCCTTATGGGGGCAGAGGGTAGTGCCAGTGGCTCCATGGAGCTCCGTTTTGTTCTCCAAAATAGCAACCCTTCCTGCCTCTGAACCTTCACACTTGTTCCCTTTGCCTGCACCTCTGTCTCAGAGCTCTTGTCATTATTATCTCCTTCATCTAAACTCGGGCCACTTCCTCAGGGAGAGCCTCTCAACCATCCTATTTAAAGGGGCTGCCTCCACCTTTGCTCATTATCTATTTCTTTCCTTTATAGTTTTCATCACAGTCTGTGATGAATTTGCTTTTTCCCTCCCCTACTCTTTGCTCCTGTCTCTCACTAGAATATAAGCTTCAAAGTATAGAGACCTTGTCTTGTTCCCTGATATCCCCAATACCTAATACAGTGTCTGGCACTTAACTAGGTGTTCAGTGGGTTTGTCAGAATGAATCCTGCATCTTTCAATATAAATTCTCTTATGTTAGGTGACATGGGAAGTAAATAGGGTTTTGGTGTTAGCTTCCCTTAGCAAGCTTATTGTATACAAAAGAGCAGCTAGTAAGCTGAACCATAGAAATTTTCTTCTAGTGGTGCAAAGAATTTCTTTCCGAGGTTCTGATGATTATTTTTCCTGCCTAATATGTTCTGAACTGGGTATGTTCATAGAGTTGGGGGACAGATTACACTAGATGTTATTCTTTCATGGATACAGTGAGTCAATTCCACTCTGGGCTGTTATATACTCTCTACCATATTAAACTCCACACCTAGTGCCAGATCTTCTACTGGAGAAATAATATTTCAATGGGGAAGGTCTTTTGAAAGGAGAGACCACTGGAAATGGTGTTACTAAGAAATGGAAAATTATGGGATGATAAACTACCATTGTAAGACCTTTACTTCAGTAGCATGCTGTTTATTCATCACTCATTCATTCAGAATTTGTGATTTCCTACTCTTTGCTAGGCTCTTTGTTTAGATGCTACCTTCAAGAAGCTTACTTTCTCTCGGGAGAGTCAGGTGTGGAAATCTGCTATTACAGTATGGAGTTCAAGTGCGTAAAGGTGTGCACCAGAATGATGTGAAGCACAAATGCTCGTGACTAAGGCTCAGAGAGGTTTACTTAGAGGTGATAGTGGTGCACAAACTGCCTTGGAAGACACAAAATGTTAATCGATGGGGAAATGGCCCTTCAGCTTTTTGTCTTAATACCAAATAAAATAATGACTATGTGTACTTACTCTTTGGGAAGACTGCTTGCGTAAATAGCGCCTTAGGATGTCAGATGCTGAAAGTGGATAATTTACCCGCCTCACTTTACCTCTGTTACCTGGACCTATGCTGTACTGAGCTAAGATCAGTGTCTGTGCTTTTATCGGGTTGTGTGCTGCCTGTAAAGCCTCACCCTAGCTGGAGCAAGTGTCAGCTTCCTGTTTCTTTGTGTATCTCATTATCCACATCATTATCTTCATTTTGTCACTGGCAGTGCTTGTGGCTGGACTTGGAAACACAAAGAAGTCTAGGCTATGCTTCCGGTGTGCTCAGCTCTAGGGAAATACTGCTTATTGCTTTAGACCTTTGCTAAAAGCAGCATGAGAGAATGTGGACAATTATAGTTCATCGTTGTTTTTCTGGACATCATTCCCAGGCCAGTGGATAGAGAGTGGGTTGCATGCATGTAAGTTCTTTGGAAAAGGGGAGAAATTTTTCAATTTACATTTATTATCTTATGCTTTAAAATATTTTTTATTTTAAATTGGACATATATTAGTCTAGTAGCCCATATTTTTATGTGTATGTATTACCTATCTGAGGAATCTCTGCCCCCAAATTTTTATTCATGAGGATATGCAATTAGTAGTTTGGCAGCCACTACTCTCTGGGAGGTGGCCCGTGCAGGTGACCTATGTGCGCTGTTAGAAAATGTGCATGAGGAAACACTGAGCCTTTGGGGATTCCTCTCATTCCTTTGAAATAGTGGGGTCCCTGCCGGGCAAGGGGTTCAGTAGAGAAGGAGTCCTTTAGCTCCAGTGCTGCCAGCTGATGACATTGGATTTAGCACTGGATGGCGGGTTTGGTACAGAGTGGACCATGCCACAGAGCCTGGCACCCAGGAGGGAATGTTGAAGAGTAGTGGTAGTTGGGGAAGGCAGCCGAATGACTGTGTTAAAAATTGCTTCGAATGGAAATGTTACCTTTTTCTTGTTCCATTTTATTTGTAGTAGGATGAGATTTCTTTTAGGACATCTGGGGAGCGCTGGGAATTTCCCACCCATCATTAGAGTGGTTTGTGTGTGTGTGGTGGCTCTGTTATCATTAGTGGTATAATTTTATTTTGCAAAGAGAGAAGTGTTTCCTGTTTTATCACAGCTTTCCCCGAGGAGGGCTGGTGTATTAATTTGCTGTATTGCCTTCTGGCTGTTCCCAGGCTGTTTTTCCTCTTCATCATGGAATTTTTAATGGCCCCGGTCCCTCTTGGGAAACATGTGAGGAAGAGTTCCTCAGGGAGTGCTTCCCTTTTTTCACATGCCTATAATTACTCTCCTTTAAGAGCACAAAGAGTTTGATAATCATGCCTGAACTGTGAGGGTTTTCTCCCGTCGGGTTACTGAGCCGAGGCTGCTTCCTGCCTGGATAAGACTGGCTGTGCTCTGCCATATACTCAACTGTGCAGGAAAGATGGCTCCTCAGCCACATGCTCACCACTAGAGCCATACATAGCCCTGGTTCTCGATGAGTGACCTCAAACTACTCTCCGTTTAGTATTCCATTGCCATAAACAAAGACATAATGAGACCTCAGTGTTAAGAGAACACTACTGATGTCTCATTTTAATACAGCCCAGTGACAGGTGCCGTACATGGGAGAGGACGTTTTTGTGGTCTTTGGGTCACCTGATAGATTTGTGGGTTAAAGGGATTTCAGAAATACTTAAGCTTTGTGATTTTCAACCCTGGCTGCACTTTTGAATCACCTGGGAAGTTTTTAAAAAATATAGCCATGCTGAGCCCCACCTCCTGAGACTCTGATTTAATTGGTCTGGGATGAGACCCAGGCATTGGCATTATTTTAAAGCTCCTTGGTGACTGTAATATGCAGCCATGGTTAAGAACCAGTGCCCTAAAAGCATATGGTTTTATGACTGGTGCTTTGTAATTTGCTTAACAGGAACTCCCATTTCATAATTGGCAGGAGCACTTTGTGCTCATTGCTTTAGTATTGTGTACATAATTCCTTATGGGGGGGGGGATAGAACACTAGACCTCTCTAAGCTATGGAGAATAGGCTGCTGGGGAAGAAGAGAGTGTTGGGATCTAGCACAGTGCCTAGCACATAGTGATTAACAAATGGAATTGTTAAATAAATATTTGTAGGTGCTTTGGTGATGGGAGAACTGTGGTGGCCACACCTGAGGGAGAAATCATATATGGCCCAAAAAATTAAATTGAAAGAAATAAATGGAATTGTTGGCTGGGTTGTTGAGTGGATGTGTGGGAGTTGCTTGGTGGGTATACCGGTAGTTGCATAGTTGGAATGAATAAATAAACTGTTTGGTAGTCTTGGTTGGGGTGGTGTTAATAAAGTAGTAATAATTGGTATCATTGTTAAAAATTGCTGCCACTCAAACAGCAGATGGTGTGATCCGTGTGTCTAGGGGCAGTGGAATGGCTGTCAAAGACATAGTCATGGAATGGTAAAAAAGACAGCTGAGATTTGTTGGTTATGAAGGATGGCTTTGCTTACCATTACTGCCTTAAAAAAATTGTGTCTAGAACTTCACAATTGCTCCATCTCTCTGTGTGATGTATAAGTCACCAGTTGTAGTTTTTGAGTGTCTCATGGCAGTTTTGAGTTTTTTCCAACTTTAGTGACTTTTCCTCTATTTTGAGTGGTGATTTGGTGATCTATCACTATTCCCATTTATTCCTTTTTTAAATTCCGAAATAGCAAAGTTTTTAACTTTTTTTTGTCATATAGGTCCTTTGTAAATAAATTGGTTTTCCTTTGAGAAATCTTTTTACCAGTTTCAGGAAGGGCAGCAGATACCAGCCTGGTGTGCAATTATTATATATGTTCCTCATTGAGAAGGAAAGGTTTCATAGTTTCTACTATATTCTCCAACTCCACAGCATATTGGCATAGGTAGTATGAGATTAAAAGCAATGGATATTAGTGTGAGGGCAGACCCAGGTAAGAATCTGGGCTTAACCTGGGCAAATGACTTCACCTCACCATGCCTCAATTTTCTAATCTTAAAAATGGAAATGGTTGTTTATTTATTTGATTAGTGGGAGTTGAAATGAAATACTATACTCAAATATTTAGCATACTGGTAGCTAATATTTTTATTTGCATTTAATTACTCCCCTTCCCTGTCCTCAGGATGTTTGCAGTTTTACAGACTTTGAATGGGCTTCCAGAGTCATTTGCTGACTTTGAATGGGCTTCCAGAGTCATTTCCAGAGTACAGATTCTTGAGGTGCTTGAATGGCATCAAATGGACCAAAAAAGGAGACAGTAGCTGCATAAAAAAGAGAGCCCTTCCTGCCCATTAGAGAGTTGATATTTGATAGGATGAACTCATTGTAATTCATTTTATCTGTTCACAAACGTTATGATCTGCATATCAGAGTTGTGTGCCCAGCTGGCTGTGCCACTTGACAAGGACTTTCAAAGAG